CGACTGTCGTCCTGATCTTGCTTTCTTGCTCCTGCTTGTCGCCGTCTTCAATTCAAATCCCTCTCCTCCTCCTCCGGTAACTCTCCTTCTCGTTCAGATCCCTTCGCATCAAGTTCGAAAGGTAAGCTCCAAACCTCTCTGATCGTTTCGATTCCCATGATTTTCTTCAAACTGAAGCTTTCATTGATGATTTGATTTGGAGTCTCGGGTTTGTTGTTCTGAATAAATCGGATTTCGTTTGCTTGGATTGGTTTCTCTCAGTTGGCGTTGGCGATCCACGGTCTTCACAGATTTTACTCAATTTGTGGTTGAATTCCGTTTTCGCTACCTGTCATGCGTCCTTGTTTATAAATTTTCTGTTTCCGAATCCGTGATTTGAGCTCTTGATCTGAAATTTCTATCAGAATATACGAATCTGCAGCTATCCGGTTGTTCGTTGTTTAAAGAAGCGAAATAATTTTTCATGATCTTTTGTTAAGAAGATACATCGTAATCGATCATTTTCTTTGATAGATTTCATTTGCTTCCGAATTGTTTGCTGACTGCTGATTCTCTGATATGATTTATGTTTCTAATAATCCTTAGATTGACGTGATTGGAATCTCAAGTTTCTCTTTGCTGATTATGTTGATCAAAGGATCACAAATCGTTTAATGCAATGTATAGCTTTGGTGTTGAATTTTCACTTTGGCTAGTTCGTATTTATTTGAATGAGGTTTAGAGCAATGTCTTGAGTCAAATGTTGTTTGCGTTTTTCAGGATCACTAGCTGAAAGGAAAATGGGGCTTTCATTTGCAAAGCTTTTCAGTCGGCTTTTTGCTAAGAAAGAGATGCGTATCCTTATGGTTGGTCTTAATGCTGCTGGTAAGACCACCATTTTGTACAAGCTCAAGCTTGGTGAGATTGTTACCACCATCCCAACCATTGGTGAGTCTTCAAAACATAAATAATTGGTTGCATTTCCTTCCTAATTATCCTTTGAGCTATTCTCTGCTTAGATATGCGATTCTCTACTCAATACTATACTTGACTGACCTATTAATGCATGTGTCTCCAGGATGAGCTTCGTGATGCAGTACTGCTTGTGTTTGCCAACAAGCAGGATCTTCCAAACGCAATGAATGCTGCTAAGATAACTGATAAGCTTTTTGTTTTTGTATCATTCTACGTTTTTTTGTTTTACTATATGCCATTTAAAATTGTATGAATCTTTATAAATTAATGTTTTTTTTTATAAAATCTTGTATATTTATAAATACTAATTTGATTTTCTTTCATTTTATTTTTGATAAAAAAAAAATTATTTTTTTATTCTTTAAGACCCAATGAATATCATCATTAATTCTACAAAACTTAAAAAGTTTTTTAATGGGTCTC